AAGGACAATTTCAAAAACAAAAACAAAAACAAAAACAAAAAAAAAAAAAAAAAAAAGAGTGAAAAAAAAATTAGAAAGAAATAACGATGATCGTCTCTATGTGGATGACAATGTTTTGACTTTGGTGGTGACAAACAGCTGCCCGGAAAAGATGATATGAAAAATGCACAAAAAGAAACATCGACATAACTCGCGGAAGCATCAGATATCATCAATCGCCGGAAACTTACAGACTTATTCGCATGTATTTGTATTTGTATGGGTACGTGTTTTGATGCACAATGAGAGATCTTCGAAGCAGTCCTCTGCTGCAACTGTGCGCGAGTCTGCCGTATTGTGTTGTGCCGTTTGCATGCATGTGGATATGTGTGACCGAATACACAAGCGAGTATTATAAACGGTTTTCTCCTTTGTAATTTCATGCAAGTGTAAGTATTACGCACGACTTACAAAGCCTAATATAATTGGTTAATCGCTAAATATGCAATCGCTTCGTCTATTAGAATATAGTACGGTTTGACTCGACTCGATATCGGGGGAGGCGGGTGGCGGGGTCGAGGTGGAGGGAAATTTAATTTGTTATACCGTTTTATTTATAAATATACTAAATATACTTTTAGCCGGTGAGAAATCATTCGACGCATATACGCCACTTGCAATTAAATTATTCATGTCTGTACAAAAATCGAGCATTGACTATGTTGTTGTACTCGTGTTTTTAGTTATTCCGGTTTAACAAGGCTACGGAACAATCGATTCTCATACATTTAAGCAAAGAAGCTTTGAGAAAATTTGAGCATTTTTTATTAATGAAAAATTTGTTTATTAAAGTGTTGTACGATGTTTGTAAATACAGATAAAATTATTTGTAACGAGTTGCAGGTATCAAACGTATTTTAATTGAGCCAGCCGCTTCGATGTTATAATAATTTTTAAAATAATTATGACAATATGACAATGCGACTGCCAGCGTTACATCCTACGGAATTTTTAAATATTAGAAAATCAATAGAACATCTAATGCATTCAGTTACTCTATACTTTAATTAACGATTGTTCGTACGATGAGCTTTACGATGGTAAAAGCACGATTGAAAACGAAAATGTCGAAAAGGTTATTCAAATCTTATTGTTTCATTTATTTTGGAACTGAACGAGGGTAGGGTAGGGTAGGGTAGGGTAGGGTAGAGTACGGGGGGGGGGAGAGAAAAGTCAAAAGCTCAGATTAACATTTTGTTCAAGAATTTCATTAGAGATTGTGATCAGATAGCGAGGAAAATTAATATAAATTTTTAAAATTATTAATGACTGTCGAAAATGTTGATCGCTCGTGCCACAGACTTGTACCCACATTATTATTAATATACAAATTGCACCAGACTGATTGTGCATTCGAAAGAGACAATGGTTGTTATCTTCCGAATGCACGTGCTATCCTCTCGTAGCCACCAATAGGCGACGCCATCAATTATCGATAAAATTGCATTCAATAAATTGTGACTCCGTCAAATTATTTCTCCAACGTAGCACATCAATGCAATTCTCATGGACCGAGAGTGCTTCGAACTATAATAATAAAATCATTAACAATTACATTGAATACAATAAGGCCTTGTTTCGAAGCTATAGCAAATCGTTATATACAAAAGATTAAAATTTGAAATACAATTAAACGACGGGCGCGTGTATTAATGGCATTGGCACAAGAGGAATGCGATCGTGACGAATACTTTAAATAGTGTTTGTACTAATGAAAATCGAGTGCGCTTCACGATGGGCTAAAATTGATAATCAATGACATTTGACACTACCCAGAGATTTTTCATCGATCAGTCGATTGTTCCGTAACCCAACCCCATCCGAAAAAGCCACAAAGCTTCTTATCACACGAAGTGATACGGGCGCGAACTCTCAGACTATTTTTTCTAAATAAGAGCAGGTCAATATGAGATGTTAATTATGATTAGTAATACATCAGCTGTAACTGTCTTCAACGTGCGTGTACAAACAATTATGCGACATGCAAGTACGTAATAATACACTACATTCCTCGTTTATAATTATTCGAATGACACATTCTTTCCTGCTTCATAATAAAAACAACAACAACAACAACAACAATAATAATAATGATAATGATAATAATAATAATAACAATAATAATCATATATAGTGCTGGTAGTGGTAGTAGTAGTAGTAGTAACAATAATAATAACAACAAGAACAACGACAACGACAATAAACCTCATAATTATTCTTATTATTCTTATTCTTCTTCTTCTTCTTCTTCTTCTTCTTCTTTTTCTTCTTCTTCTTATTATTATTATACTTTTATCCATTGATTATTTATTAATTCTTTAATATTATTATTGTTTTGATTTATTATTATTATTATTATTATCATTATCATTATCATCATCATCATCATCATCATCATCATCATTATTATTATTATTATTATTATTATTATTATGGAATTTTTCTCACACGAGCCGCTGGAAAAGATTCATTCGCGTCCGGCTCAAGCTCGAACTCATACCTAGCGTAACCACGTAGCACCTAGGGTTTTTGTACTTTTTTTTTTGTTGTAATTATTCGTATATTATCCTTATCGTTACTTGTTTGTTTTTTTTTTTTGTTTTTTATTTTTACTTTGTATTGTTAAACATAAATTGATGACAAGAGAAGAGTGTTTATATACAATAATACGATTATAATTTATCATTGTCTTGTCTTGTTCGCACGAGAAATTAAATGGAAAAAGCAATCTACGAATCTCCGCTGTATTATGAACTCTATTAGATGCATTAAAAACTCGTTACAAAACAAGGAGACGAAAAGTGAAAATGGGAATTTTATTTCGAAACGTCAAATTATGAAAACGCAATATCGCGGACTTACATATTTAATATGCACGAGACGCTCAACGTACTTTTCACTTTTGTTTCCCAGACAGACGACGTGCCTTCGTATTTGTCACCGATTCGTCTCATAATTAAGTTCTATTTTTCACCCATTAAGCTTATTTAAATCAGATTTTCCCTCTCTATATAGTACAATATCTACAATCGATTGAAACAACAACTATCGATAAAGTTTACTTGTAGTAAGGACTCTAAAGTAACTGTAATAATGCTAAAGGCTCTTCGTTTTATCATATACAACCAAAACAGTTTCTTAAATTTATTTAATAATTTCCTCGGTAATTTATTAATTCTCTCTCTCTCTCTCTCTCTCTCTCTCTCTCTCTCTCAATTTTCTATAAGTGATAGTTTACTGGACAAGAATGAAAATCATAGAGCGGCCGTTTAAATTTTTACGCGTCACTTCGCGCTCGTAATTGTTAATGCCCACGCTTTGTAAGGTGCGCACTCCTTTTTCTCACGGCCACGCTCCTCCTACAGCTCGCACCGAGAAAGGAGCAGCGTGCTCACTTGTGCAAATGCGTCGTTGCTCCATGTAGAAAATGAAGCTTACACGGCTATATATATTTTTCACGTGAAATGTCTGTCTTTGTTACGGCAATAGTACGGCTATGACCGAAGATGCGTCAAATAAAATTTCGAAAAGCTCACTCGTTTTATGTTCATAGACATTTTCGCGCAGTCTTCCCTCGTTCTAGTTTAATGCTCCTCTGTTACTTTTTCTTTGTTTAAATTTCTGCCACTGACTTTTTAGGTGCGGATTCAATTTAATTTTGCAATTGATCGACCATGGACCCTCGGTGAATATAATAATTGTCACGAGAAAATATGTTTGGGGCAAGAGCTCCATTCCAGTAAAAATAATATACTGGCGCTTAAATTTTTGTGGGATAACTTTGCAATCTCTATTGGAAAATAAATTTATTATGATAATTTCTAAAAACTCGTTGCAGCATGGGGACGTTTTTCCAGATCGAGCCTCTATTTTATCATCTACACTTCTTATTGTAGTTTAATGTACAAAATTCCTTTCCTCAATCCTTAGCGAATTGACCTTTCGTTTGTTAAATAATTACAAACGGCTAGGCCAAGCCCTTTATAACTGGTCATTCGGTATAAATACTTCGTTAAACAATGATAAATACATACAGTGGTGTCTCTAGGAAACGTCTGCATCTCTAAACCACTTACAAAATAATCACAATGCATTAGAAAGCTATTTAACGTAAACCTTATGTAAAAAAGGAAAAAAAAAAATATACTCCTTGCTTAAAATAAACACGATATCACTTTTTCAATCACCGCAATCGAATTTGAATTCGACGACAAACCGAATCTCTATGATTTTCATCTCTTTATAGATATAAAAGAGAATTTACGACGCGATCCAAGGGAAGTAGCTCCTTCGAGTTCCCTCTCCCTCGAAATCTCCATAATCTGCTCGTGAAGCTTCACTAATAGAATATATCGAGAGCTCTGTATCGTTATGTCGTGAGTACAGAAATATTTTGGGACGAGTTTTCACGTTACATGGCCTCGAGCACCTACGAGCACCTATGACCACCTATGACCACCTATGACCACCTACGAGCAACTACGAGCAACTACGTGCAACTACGAGCAGCTACACGAATAGTTTTAAGATGCAAAATAATGCGCGACACTCGAGCGGGGAAATTTTTGCTAAGAATACTCGCCTCGAGAAAAACTCAACATTCTATAAGAAATCCCTCACATCGATTATCGCGCATTGGAGTAAATTTCCGTACTGGGCTACAGTTTATAAGCTCAGGCGTCACAAACTCAACGTCACAGCAATATCTCGCTCCTACTGAAAATCGATCGGCCATATTTGCTTCTCGATCAGGACGGCTCCACGGCAACTCGAGGCCATCAAGGGACATATCTTGCTTAGTGCTACGACTAAGTTCTTCTTCCGCTTAAGAAATTATCGGTCGGTGATGGGCGCTGCGAGTGACTCCTTGATGCTCGCGCTCTGCTGTTGCTCAAGGTCGAGTTGCTGCTCCCCAATGCTCGACGACTGATGCTGCTGCTGCTGCTGCTGCTGCTGCTGCTGCTGTTGTTGCTGCTGCTGCTGCTGCTGCTGCTGTTGTTGTTGTGGCTGCTGCTTCCCGATCTCGGTGGTGCTGCTCTCGATCGAGTTGCACCTTTCGAGACGTTCGACCTGTCGCAGCTCTTCCCGAAGCCTCGTGTTGTCACGACGAAGGCTAGAAAGTTCGGCTGCAAGACGCCTCGCGAGCTCGAGGGTGTCGGAAGGTACCTCGAGGACCAGCAGCCGCTCCTCGAGCTCCTGCCCAAGGTCGCGGCACTTTGTTGTTGCCAATGTTGAGCCGAGGACCTCCACGCGCGTCGACTCTGACGTCAATGTTTGCTGCTGCTGCTGCTGCTGCTGCTGCTGCTGGTCCACAGACGAGAGCTGCTGCATCAATTAATTGATTCGATAATGCGTTAACGGGAGTCCCATTTGAAGGGAGAGGATTTATATTTTGACAATCGCGGAAACTTTTTCACATGGACCGGAATTAAGGGCGCGAGCTTTAAAATGCAAAATAATATAATATAGGTAACAAAGACATTTTTTTCTAATCGAATGCCACTCCTAAAAGTCTATGTGATCAAAGTTCTTCGCGACATAAAAGAGTAAAAAACAAAAAAATTTAACACAAATATTTTTAATTGTTCTTAGCTACGTTTAAAAATGTTTTTAATTAATTTCTTCATGAAATCGGTAGGAAGATATTACAACTGTATATTCGTTTTATGAAAAAAAAAAAAAAAAGCGCACATATACTTAACGAATTCCTTTGAAGAAACCAATCGCTTATAAATTTTATAATTTATACTGTTAATTAAATTTATTAAACGCATAGAGTTTTAAAGTTGAGATTACAAATATTTGCCATTGAACGTTACATTGGAATGCCAAATTTCATGGACTTGTTGTTCGAATCTCAATTATACCAAGAGAAATATTTATAAATTTGTAATGGCAACAAAATTATACAGTAAAAATATCGATTATTAATCACAAAACAATGACAGATTAATTTATTTTTTAAACATACTAAACAAACTTTTCCAATTGGAATTTTGAAAGAAAATATCTTTAATACGATTTTGGTCTATCTGAAAAATTAAAATTAGTTGAAAGCAGAATTAATTAATTTATGCACAATGAAAACTCAAACGTATGAAATGACGTTTCTAAATTCAATGTCGTTGGATTCTGTACTCGCGTACATCATGGAGTATACCGATTTGCAGCTCAAAACAGCCCGTCGCTGTGTTTGAAAATTACCATTAGAAATGCTCACAGTCCCTCGAATTTCAATCTCAAGCGAACGGGTCCGACCGAAAGGTCAATTAGTTTCATGGCGTTCATTTCAGGCCGAGGATCCGCGAACAGCGAGCGCCAAGGCTAACGAGCCTTCTGTAAAAAATAGAAAGCCGCTGCTCAAAAGTTCACGTACCGTGGATGAGATAATAGTGGTGACGCTGCTTTCCCCTTTCTCCTCCTTCTCCACCACCAACTCCTTCTCCCTATCATCCCCCTCCTCCGCCTCATCATCGTCCTCCTCATTCCCCATCGTCCCCTTCCCGTCCATCTTCTCCTTTCCCACCGTCAGCTTCTCCTCTTTTTCATCTCCTTCCGTCTTCTCGTCGACTGACTTCCTTCTCGGGGTCGCAGCGACCATCGGCCTCACCAAGCAATTGTCCTTCTCTTTAGCGACGGCTACAACCACCGATTGCTGCTGTTGCTGTTGCTGTTGCTGTTGTTGTTGTTGTTGTTGATGATGGTGATGATGATGATGATGATGACGATGATGATGCTGCTGCTGCTGCTGCTGTTGTTGTTGTTGTTGTTGTTGCTGTTGCTGCTGCTGGTGCTGGTGCTGCTGCTGCTGCTGTTGCTCGCCCTTCTCGCCGGGGCAGGCGAGTACGGGAGCGTAGGCGGCCGCCTCGGGACATGGCGACGATGGCTTCTCGATCTTCACGCTCACAGGGACGAAACCCTCGAGGGACGATGTCGAGGAGGAGATCGTCGTCAGCGCCACGGCAGACTTATCATCGGGACTGGTAGATCTCGGGTGGCCGTGCCGTCTATGTCGTCGATGCGGTCCCGCAGCCAGCGGCGGTATCGTCGTCCCCGTTGGTACTGCGGGGCTGGCCGCCCCGACAACCGTCACGGGTGAGACGAGAGGCAGACCGCTCGCGGGTACAACCGGCGACGCACTGGGTGGCGCCAGGGCCACGTTCGGCTGGAAATGGGGCTCGAAGCGCTCGCAATCCGACATGGGTACGACGCGCTCCGGGTGCTGAAGTACCGGCGGACCCCGGCTTAAATAAGCCGGCACGTGGGCCGAGCTACAATCACAAACATACCAGGATTTCAGATTTCAGAATTCCGAAATTTTTATCGGTACCGCGATATTATTGTAATTATTATTGAACGTGGATGATGATCGACGCGGTAAGAATATTGAATGTCAATGCCGTTCGAATGGCACGATCAAAATTATTTCATTGCTCTTATTATATTGACACGCCGAGTCATCTTCTAAATGCATTTCAACAGAGCTTCCTATTAACGCACGACGAAGCTAGTGGCTACGCCCAACTCGTTATCGGAATCGCAAATACAAATCCGAGACGAGATTGAACGAAGAATCCGAGTGCTTAAGTACGTACGTATGGCATTCGTTAAAGAAATTGAAAGGGATATTAGGCGACGTTCTAAGGACATTCCTTCAAATAATAGCACAATCATCTTCAATATTCTCTCCCTTATTCATTGGAAAATTTGGAAGGAACATTTTGGCATTATAAAATAGACACTTTACAAAGGCACGATATAATATTTATATCACGTTAATGCAGCGTATGTATTTTCATTCGAATTACGTCATTTTTGTCTATGCCTAAGGCTTCATTTGAATAATTAATATCAAAACATTTGTAATCGCGAGACTATTTGCTCTTTATCAAGTAGCTACAATTGTTTTTACAACAGTACTCAAAACTCACGAGTGACTAATTTACTGAACGCCTATATGGAACATTAAATATACATTATTATTATTATTATTATTATACAATAGACCGAAGAAAATTATAATACCATGGCGGCGCATAGCCTAGTATTTTATATTAATTTGTAGACAAAATTTTTTTTTTTTTTATGAATTTTCATATTATAAATTGGTAAGATTAATGTTATGTAAACGGCTTAAAAAGAAAAAAAAAAAAAAAAGAGAGAAAAAAAGCACGGAGATTGTATTGTAGCAACTGCTTTCGATTAAATTCGTACAAATCGCTAAAAATCTCGAGTCTCGACGAGAGCTTTTACATTATTAAAAAATTAATTAATTCCATTTTATTTTTAAAGCAATGACGTACCCGCTGAAAATGTCATTGCCTTTTAATTATATAATCGGTAAAAATGCGATATAATATAAATTTCAAGCTTAACAGATGCTGAGCCTTCTGTGATTATTTATTTATTTAGTTAAGAAGAATGTTAGACCTTTTTGAATTCACAGTTGACCTGACAAAATTCCACGAAAAAAAAAACCAGTTGTTTATAATTATCAGCGTGGATTATATCGAGACAAAATTAACCATAAATATTAGAAAAATTGAATAAATTCGTTTTGAAAAATTTTATCAACGTTTGAACTAATAAAAATTTTCATAATTGTTTGATATAAAATACATTCAATAAATAATAAAGCTATGATACAACATGGCCTACTTTAATTAAAGAAAAAATATTATCGTTTTAATGCTTCTTCGAAATTATACTTGTAGCACATACAATGTTAAAGTTATGCCGTATAATTAATTTTCTACACTTGTTTGTATTCGACGTAATGCAATTTTTTTTAAATTAAAACTACATTGTACATTGTACTGGTTTTTAGTGGAGAAAATTAGATAATCTGCCAAGCCATCCTTTCTTTTGAAGTAACGTAATTTTTCCGCCTGATCAATGAATTTCCAACATTCGTCAAATGCAGTAATTTTCAATATATTTCTATTAATATTGATATTGGGTGGAGATTTAAATCTTCATTAAGAACGTAAGTGAAGATTAGGAGGCTAATGTAAATGAAACGATAATAACAATAAGTGTGCGTGTGCCGAATCAAATGAAGAAAAATCGTACGAGAGTGTAAAAAATTTAATAATTGAAATGAATAGAATTAAAATGAGGATTTGTAAAAAAAAAAAAAAAAAAAAAAAAAAGGAAAAAGAAAAAAAAAGAAGAAAACTTAGCATAAAAACATCTACCCCCACCATGGGATATTTACGATTATCTTACGCCGCATGACATAAATCAAACACAGTCGCCGAAAAAAGGCACTAAATCTCCATGGAAACAACTTAATAATAACATTGGTACGCAACAAAGTGCATCCTCCTGTCTCCCTTCAAGCACCTCTCTCTCTTTCCCCGTGGGCCCTAACATTCGTCCCCACGAATATTCTCCTATTCTTCCACGTGATAAAGATCTCTCGGATCACGCGACTTTTTACGAAGTACGGCACATTTCAACGTAAAAGCTCACGATTAGGTTTCGTCTCCTCGGGGACCTTGGAGTCCTCACATCATCCAGTGCTAATGAGAATGTTAAGTTGACACGAACCTCTCGCGGTGCTTGCACGATCCCGCGGGATTCCAAGGCCTGAAGGCGGAGGCCTCGCGGGCGGCGAGCTCGAACACGGCCCACTGCATGCGGAGGTAGGGATCGGCGACAGCCGCCGCCGGAGAGGCCGGATGGTAGAGTCCGAGGCCGTTCCCGTTGTACACGCCGCTGGTGAACTCCTCCCTTCCGATGTCCTTCTTCAGCTTTTTCATTAGCTTCTCCGACTCGTGTTGTATCTGTAATGGAAATGGTCGACCAATTATATTCACGGCCCGTGAAATACCGTGGTCGCTTCTTCGGTTGGTCCCGGTCGCGGGGGCATTTCATTTTCTGCCCTGAGAAAGAACTTCTCGCTTTAGTCGAAGTATCGAAGAATTACCACTGGTGGATATGAGACCTCGAGAGTACTCTCTCCTACGGTTCTATTTTACCTCTTTTTTTCTTCTTTTTTTCTTTCTTTGTTTTTACTTTACTTTACTTTTTCAATCACTCACTACTAATGCCATAGCACTGCATTTTCAAAAAGTCGAAGTGTGAAAAAAATGCGCAGACACATCGTCATTTTTCAAACGAGCACTCGCTGTAGTTTTACCTTGAAGTCAGCTTGAAATTTAATGGCTAGATAAGGGAGTGATATTACTATTTTTTTTTTATTTTTATTTGAAGATGAATGAACGAACGAACGAACGAACGAGTTTTATAATAAAAACTATTGATTCTAAACAAATTGATTTATTTCAATATAATTCAAATAAGAAAACTCTTATTATTAAAGACTGGCATAACAAGGCGCTTTCAATGCAGTTTGGATATTACGTTTATGTATTAGACTCTCGGCTGATTAAATCGAATGGAGTTGCGCTATGAAATCAATGAATATATTACGAAGCAACAAATGTATTTATAAAGGAAAATTTAGAAATAAATTATTAATAATCAGCTTTTAAATATTGTTTTTTTTTTTTTTTTTTTTTTGGATTTTTTTTGATTTTTTTTGATTTTTTTTTTATAGCAGAAGGAAATATTGTTAAAATGCCTTCATTACCGACCATCCTTTTCGATCGAAATTAAATATTCGTGTTGAAAGAACAAACTTGGAAGAACAAACTTTTTGAAATTAGCGTGTGTCTCGATGCTTTCTGTCTGTTGGGCTTCCGTGACTCCGGCCATTTTCATTGAATTTCTCGAAATATTAATAGGACTTATACATCTCCTACATGAATCTCATTTAATATGAAAATAAATAAATATTGCTTTTAACATTAATTCTATTAACACATATTCTTGGCGTTTTATTTTATTCGCGCACTCATTAGTTACGCGAGTCTGTAAATGGAGAATGAGAAAGAAAAAAAAATGCGCGACGTAAGGAATGTCACCATACAGGGAGCAATTAAATAAATATAAATGTTAACGCACCATAATCGCCCAATCTACAAACATTTGTTGCATTTTTAGTCTCATGCAAGTGGTAAAAATTCGTTTTAACAGCCAATAAATTTAAGTGTGCAGTGCATAAAATTGATTATTCTAATAACATACCCTAAAAAGCCATAATAAACTAAATTTCCTATTTGTAGGATTATTGTCCCATATATTGATTCCAATGATATATATAAATAAAAAAAGAATGAAAAACCCTTCGTCGCACGATAATAAATATTATTTATTTATAATTATTTAAAATTTTTGCTGTTGTTGGTACTGTTATTAAATTATCAAACAGATGAAATAGTTCAATCGAAGCCAATAATTTTACGAAAGCATAGGAAGAAAAAAATTTATTGTAAATTTATAATGTAAATAATCACACTAAATATCTGGAAATTGAAATAATCTGTTAATATCATTTTATAATTTTATAATCTTCACACATTTCAAGTATACTTACGCGATATTAGAGTTTTTTTTAATAGATTCTCATTACCTTGTATATATATATATATATATATATACACAGAAATATTGAACACTTGAGTTAGTCTTATTATAAGAAGAATTGCATTATTTTCAAATAAGACATTCATAATAGAATACAAAAATTTCAGACAAAGTAAAACATTTTTAATACGTATATTTATAGCGTCTGAAAAATACGTAAAAAATTGATTTTTCACTAAATTTTATTAATATAACTAGGCCATGGTTATGTGAACCATTATAAAATCTGAAACTTGATATAATAGTTTTTTTTTGTTTACTGTTAATAAAAACTGAAATATGAAAAATCACATTTCACATTTGTATCACATTTTTGTAGGACTAACGTGGAAAATTAAAGTTATTGAAATATAATTTATATAAAACACTTGCTTTATAGATTAATCGATAAGCACCAAAATAATTTCCAATATCAAATGCAAGGAACTTAATTTTCATTGGCTTAATCAAATTACAAAAAAAATAATATTTTCTAATACATATATATATATTTTATGGATTTTTTTTTTTTGAATCCTGATGAATACATGAATTCCTGTATTTCGAAAGTTTCGTGCTTGTGTATTAAATATTTTCATCAGTAGGAATAATCATTAAAAAATACCATCGTACGATAAATTAGTGACAACATTAAGTAATAAAATTTTTGTCCTTACGTTGCAAAGAAAATGATAAATTTTTCAATGCTAGAATAGTTTTATAATAAATCGATGTTAGACGAAATTATTGAGTGGTGTATTATTTATTATGGTAATTATTGAATATTTTATGTTTCAAGCTTTTATTTCAGTCATGGCGGTTTATAATCAAAATATTCTATTACGCTATTATTGTCTTCGGCTATTTATTTAGAATTTGCAAACAAGACATAACGTACTCTTAGACATAATAATGTTTGAATTTGTTCATGAATAAACAAATACCAAACAGAATAATACCATTATAAATAAAGAATTTTTAATATATTTTCATATTATTCGGTAAAATGATTAAAAAAAAAAAAAAAAAAAAAAAAAAAAAAGTTTAATTAAATACTACAATTATATGGAAAAATTATAGGGAACTTTTTTATTTTCAATTCCAAGCAGTATATTCTTATAATGAAAATGTAACAAATTGTACTTTTATACTTTTAATTTTTCTTCTATCGACATCAATATATACTGGCAATACCCGATATTCATTAAATTCAACGATTAACCATAATAATACGGAAACATTTTTTTGTTGTTTAAGTATCATGTTAAATGTAATAGAGTATTAATAACCGAACAATTATATATTTATGAATTAATTGTAAGATTAGAGTATATTCCTTGAGTTTCTCCCATTGCGCTATGCAAATCTTTCGCATTTCGTTTCATTCGAATTAGCATTCCTTCCACGTTATTATAAATGGCCGAAAAATAATCCCATCTTCTTGTCAACTTTAATCTGCAATTACATGGTTTCCACAACAGCAATTCAGTATCTCTAGTACCAGTAGGCTGGAGATTACTTAAATTATGCAAATCTATATACTTTCTCAAATTTCATTTGCAACCTATTGTATTATAGTATAGCCCACTAAGTAATACAATATTTATCTTTGAATTATTTGATAAACTAAGTATTTTCATATAATTACTGATTTACTTAGAAATTTTATCGATAAGTTCTACTGAAACATTAATTTCGTTTGAAACAATAAGTAAATTTATTTCCAATTGAAGGCTCATTAAAGTAAGAAGAAACGCACGCAATGGATTTTAAAATTGGGAATAAATTGTTTGTAAATTATTAAACATTCAAATTTTCATAATAATAACTTTGCTATTGAAATGAATAAAACCGAAATTGTAGAGCTCAACTAAAATAAAACCGATGTTTCTTATTATTGAATTCCTGTTATTGAAAAACAATATGTAAAAAATATATTAATTCAATTGATTTATAGTTGAACTAAAATGTAATGTAATGTATAATAAAAATAAAATATGTAACAATTTAATTTAATTTAAATGAAAATTTTTATGAAAGCGAGTATTTGCATTTTTTACCGGCATATTGTATTATTATACGCACTTTTCAGTGAAAGTATTTAAGTAAAAAAAGTAATCTTATTTGTCAAATCAATACAGTTATTATATCACAATTTTATCAACAAGGAACATTGGAAATTAAATAGTTAACCGTTAAATAAATAATAATTTTTTCTATCTCGTTCAATACAAAAAAACGACCTTATTATGACTGCAAATTGCATTATCGAAATGTGTCAAATATTAATTTGAAAAATGTTGAAAAATAATTGTGATGAATTTGTCTATTTAATTCTGTTTATAATATTCATTAACTATAAAAGAAACCTTAAGCAATACAAACTTTCGACAATTTTTAAAATAACAATTTTTAATTTAAAATATAGAAACGTCGATTAGAATAAGTTTGATTTTATCAAATGTACAGAAAAATCTAATAAAATTACAACTACTACTGTCTTTATACTTATGTAATTTAAATAATTTGATTTTTTTTTGTTAAATTACAAAGCTTCCAACTATTTACAAATTGTTATGATTCAGTATGCATGTACCAAGATTAAAAATAAAGTAAACTTATATTCATTGTATGATGTAATTCTTATAGACTCTTTTTATTAATATCGAGGGCAATCGCTTATCTAATTGAAACAATTATTGTTTATATTTTTGTAACTAATTGATGTCATTTTTTAATGAATCATATAATAAATACTATTACACTAAAGATTTTATGAATGAAAATATAGGATTGAAGCTAATTCAATTTAGCGTACATCTATAAATCAGAATAAAAGAAAGAAAGAAAGAAAGAAAGAAAAAAGTTCTACCTCGCAAGAAATATGAATTTGTAATTCTCACACTGACATTTCACAGTAAAATTTCATGATGCAATAACTAAGCAGAATGATATCCACTAGTGAGATACAACATAACATTGCTCCATGAATTTATAATGGATTGAAATCACTCACCTCTAATTTTCGCTTAGCGTTGGGTAGGAGATGCCTATCTTTCAGATCCCTAAAGAAGTTGACGATTTTGTTGTAATGCTGTTGATCTCGCGACAGCAGTAGATAGGATCTCCAATTGGATGAATCGAAACCCCAGTGACAGGTACGATTCTCGAGAGATCCATGCGCATGCCTTACAAAGCGCTGGGGTGATAGTCTGCAACCACAGTCTAAGCACTCTATGCACGCCGAGTCCTCTGACACAAAAGAATTTGCATCAAATATACCTTTACACTTTCCAAAGCATTCGTGATACACTTTAAATCGCGAAATGGCTTCTTTCTCAATGTCTTTTTTATCCACTACCAGTCTTTTTATATCAATATCGTCTCTGTCGTGTATGGAAGGAGGTAAGTAGGGCTCTGCCCTCGATAACAGTGCACTGACAAGTCGTTCCGCGTCCGTTTGTGTTATCAAGCCACAGGAAGGCGCGTTTCGAGGTAAAATACCAGAGAGCTTGAGCTCCTCCAGTTGGTCTCTCGTGCATCTCGAACAGTATATTTGTAATTCATCGCACACTTGATTAATTTGCTGCAAGGAAAAATCTTGTAACACTGTGTTCAAAATTTGTGGCAAGCACAACCTCCTCTCTCCACCCACGACAAAACAAGATATCCTTTCTCCTTCCAAAATAGTCTCGCATCTTTCCGAGCAGCTCTGATCTGGTGCAGTTAAAATTGGAATTTGAAACTCCAAGTCCCTCTTCTCACATACCTGAAAAATGTAATTATTACTTATGGTTAATGTGCATTACGATACTCGATTGATATTCATTACTAAACTAGGATTTTGAAACTGAAAACTTTTCATCCCTTACATTAAGAAATAAAGTCTTTTGTGCTTCATTTAAAATTAAAATTTACATTGCTTACGAATGAGCAAAAAATTCATACGATATTAGCATCCCATCAGTATGACTACATTATTATTTTGACCGAATTTTAACATTATTAGTATGACTGAAATATAGAATTATATAAAATAATTAATTCCTCCTTATCGTCACTATTTATTTCTTTATTTATTTAGTTGATTATCGATATTAATATAATATTTATTATCATACGCTTCTATATTATCTTATTCGTTGTTTCATTATTTTTCACTTGGTTTTCAATGATTAAAATTATATGACATCTTTATTATTAAACTTTTGTAATTCACGTATAAGATCTTGAAGCTAATTAAAATTAGATGATTGTAAAGAAAGATTTTAAGACATTTACAATGTTAATTTAAGTAAATTTACTGAAAAACATTGAAAATACAATAATAAATGAGCCGTAGTAACACTGTGCTGAGCATATCTTTTATCTAAACATGTATTACAGAAAAAGAGTTGAGAATAACCTCCATGCTTCTTAAATTTAATTCATTATAAATCTTACTTTGTTATTCTTTGTTTATAACATAAAAAACTTTTTGCTTTACGATGCAATGATAATCCAATTGGAACAGCGAATACACGATTATGTGTTAAATTACATTATGTTGAAAAATTTTTTTGATTATGTTTCAAATATATACAAGAGTAAAACATAAGAATTATATTTATAAACAATTAATAAATACTTTATTTGTAATACATCTGGTTATGTCGTTATTTTTTTTTTTTTTTTTTTTTTTTTTTTTTTTTTTTTTTTTTTTACTACAATTCTCAAATATAACATAATAATTACCCTAAATAATACCCAACCTGAAAAAGCATAGGATTTACATAAGAAATACCTTGTTGTCATTTGATAACTATTATATTAATGAATGTAAAAGTGACAAAAATACAAAACTTTATTATCTACTTTTATTTTAATCAAATTTACATTTATAGATGTTTACCTTTTGATAACCTGCAAGTGTTTGTATGAGAATTGTACTGATTAGTACCACTTGTTTAATACCTGATAAGTAATACAATTTAATTTGGTAAATCTTTTATGAATACAATTCTACTAGATATTACTTATGAAATGTTTTTCTCTTCTAAAAATAAGTTCTCTTAATGTAAATCTGCATGACTCTTTAAACAGTGAGCTAGTTAAATATTTACATGTAATTTTCTTATATTATAAGCGATATAAAATCCATTGATAAAAAAATTAAGAATGAAGCAAGGAAAGAGCAAAGTACCTTTGGTCTATCGGGCGGATCGTCGTCAGAATCTTCATGAAGCGGTTCCACTTGTAGGTCCTTACAAGATGTCGTGATGCGAGCCGGTGAATTTTCTCTCTTTTCAATGTCTTTAAGCGACGAATGCTGATTGAGGGAATCTATGCCACAGTTGCCCGTGCAGTTTGGCGGTGAAAAACGAAAATTTGCTTGCTCCTGTAAAAGTCCCTTGCAGTCCATGCCTAGCAGGGCGGAACTTGGTCCCTGCAGGCTCTTTACAGCCGACAGTTGATATGTTTTTAGTACTGTTTTCAGCTGTGGACTGTAAGACTGGGTATTGGTATCACCGGGCAGTAGAGTCTCCATTATTACTTATTATCTTTAGATAGAAGGGCTGAAAGGAAGACCTTGACTTTACTCTAGCTCTATATTATTTGCTTCCCGCTCATAAATACATGGCATGGTAATCCAAATAGAACAGGTCCATCTTGTCTGTGGTCTCGCTCTTATTCCTCTCCTTCAATACAAATCTCTTTGTAATCTACAGTCGATCGACGTACCGCAATCTTTGCTTTCCATCTCAATCGCCGCTCCATGGAAGATTCTTCTCTTCGAATCCATTGGCAAACTCTCGTAAATGCTCTCAAAATTAATGAAATTATGGGCACACGCTAGTCCCAATTTACAACATTATTGAATTCGTCGAGCCAAGCTTTCACTTAATCTAAGCAGCGCATCAGTCTTATAGTCCAATTTTGCCACCGACAGCATTGGTAACCACTCGAATCATTGGTCTTCCTTAAATCATAAAGTTGAACGAAGAGAAGGTGAACCTGAGGGGATGACAAAGGCTACCCAAGATGCATAAGATGTCAACTCGTATTTAAAGCATAATAACCTTTCAGCTCCGGCGAAAATTCACAACGAGTGGCAAGGAGAGCGAGGAATCGAGCACGCGAATCCAAAAGACGAGCCTCCAGGTATATCCGTCAATGTCAAGCGTTCGAGCCCTGACTTTCAAGCGGATCCACAAAAATAACAAGAAACGAGTACCAAGAAGAAACCGTAATAGCGTACACACCGCTTTATTTCTACTCTCTTCCTTCGCGACATGAAGACGTGTAGTGCAAAGGTAGAGCGGATAGTCGTCTCGCAAATCCTTAGGCGCGCACGCCTCTCTATCTCCCCCTCCCTCGCTCTCACGTTCTCGCTCTTTCTCTCTCTCCCGCTCCCTGTATATATATATATATATACATATATATATGCGTGTGCGTGCGCGCGTGCTACCTCCTTCTTCTGTCCCCCTCCTCCAGGCCGCCAATCGTGCTCTCTCTTTCTCTCTATATGTATATATATATATATATATATATATATATATCCTCTCTCTCTCTCTCTCTCTCTCTCTCTCTCTCTCTCTCTTGCTCTATCACTCTCTCCCTCTCCCTGGCTCTGGACGCGCGTCCTCGAAGGTCGCAGGCGAGTTCCCGTCTCTTGTCTCCCTCCCTCGATCGCTCACTAATATCACTCTCTCTCTCTCTCTCTCTCTCTCTCTCTCTCTCTCTCTCTCCCTTTTTCTCCCTCAACGTTTAAGAAGTGGAAAAAGAAGAGAAGGAGGAGGCAGAGCCGCGATCGAGCGAAATACAGGTTCGGTCAGAGGCAGCGGCGGTGTACGGGTCGGTGGCCTGAGAAGCGGCTACGTCGCTGCTGATGCTGATACCGATGCCGATGCCGATGCCGATGTCGATGCCGATGCCGATGCCGATGCTCCTGCTCCTGCTCCACTCGAGCACACTCGCTTCCTCAGCCGAGCGCTGGCACATGTCGATAGCCCCGCCGTCGCTCTTTTTCTCTCTCCTCTCTCTCTCTCTCTCTTCTTCAATCCTTCAATCCTTCAATCCTTCGATCCTTCAATCCTACAGTTTTGACTTCGATTGCTCTCCATCGATCACGACTCGCCTATACGACGGACCCGCGGGCCAGCCTCCGCAAGCTGTCCAAGCGACGTCGGACGACATGACGAGCTCCTCGCCGTCGGACGAAGAGAGAGAGAGAGAGTTTACACGGATGGGTTAACAGCGACGAGGACGACTCTGCTACTACTACTACTATTGCTGCTGCTGCTGCTGCTGCTGCCTCTTGTTTTGTCCTCGGCTGGCTCTCTCCCTTCTCCGCCACCGCCTTGGCCGCAGCCTCAGCCTCAGCCTCAGCCTCAGCCTCAGCCTCAACCTCAGCCTCAGCCTCAGCCTCCGCCTCCACCTCCGCCTCCACCTCCTCCACCGCTATTGCGAGGCGGGCCGCGGTGATCGAGGTGCGTACGATAGCCCCGTTATTTCTTTTAGGTCGTTTCGCGGGCCGAAGTCGCGTTAGCGGGCCTCGGGATTTCGGGCACCTCTCTCCTTAAGTTTCGGAGACTTTTCGTCCTTTACCGAAGTTACCGAACCCCGCTACACTCCCTCTTCTTGGTCCTTCGTGTCTCCGTGTTTACGTGTTTTCGTGCGTACGTGCGTGAACGAGCCGCGATGCACGATGCACGATGCGTGTGGGTGGATCCTCTTTAGTTCATCTCGCGGCGAACGGCACACGAGCAGTCGCGCGCACCTCCACCTCTCCGGCTGTTGGCCCGAGGAACGCGAGAAGACCTACTGAGAGCTAACCACCACCGAGGACTGAGAAGCCGCCGCTGCCGCTGCCGCTGCCGATGCTGCACACGCGTTACTGCTCCCCTTTTCTCTTCCACTCCTCTCGTCGCACTCGCGCTCACTCGTTCCTTATCTACTTGTGTACGTTTGGGAGCGCACACACAGACCCACACAAACAAACAAACAAACTCACACAAAAGCCGACCCTGTCGCTGCTTCGTCTTCTTTCTCTTCTTGCCCGTCTCGCTCCGGTAGTCTAGTCGTCTGGTCTCTCGCGCGCGCGCGCCTTCTCTTCGCCGTCGTCGCTCTGCCCGGTTATATTATTGTTGTCGGCGGCGCCTTGCTGCTTACGCCTCTCGCGCTTCTCTCCTCTCCGCCACCACAGCCGTAGCCGCCTCCACTGCCGTTGCCGCCGCCGCCGCTGTCGCTGCCGCTGCCGCTGCCGCTGCTCAATTTTCGATTCCACTCCGTTCCGGGCATGCAGAGGCAGATACGGATGGCTAGCACATCGATATG